TACTTCTGAGGTAGGCGAACCTGATCTGGCCGTTCTCTCTGATGTTAGACGATGTGTGTCACAGGATATGAATACGGGGCTGCTAGCTCCCTTTTCGCATGAGGAAATTAAAAAAAGCTCTATTTCAAATAGGAGACCTTAAAGCACCTGTGTCGGATGGTCTACATGCAGTATTTTTTAAGAGATTTTAGGATCTCTTGGGCGATAGCCTTGTGACATAGGTCTTGGATGCAGTCAACAATTGCAAAATTCCAGATGGTTGGAATGATACAACAATTGTCTTGATCCCCAAGGTAAACAATCCCACTATGGTGTCTCAATTCCGTCCAATAAGTTTATGCAATGTGGTCTACAAAGTCATTTCTAAAATTCTAGCCAATAGATTGAGAGGGATCCTACCTGATATTATTAGCGATCACCAAATTGCCTTTGTTCCTGGGAGATTAATTATAGATAACATTCTTATTGCATATGAAAGCATCCATAGAATAAAGAAGAAGTGTGGTAAAAGAGGTCTTTGTGTTATAAAGCTAGATATGCATAAAACCTATGATAGAGTTGAATGGAATTTTCTTGAGAAGATTATGCTTAAAATGGGTTTTCATCAGAGATGGATGCAGCTAATCATGGCTTGCGTGTCTTCAATCAGATACAATGTCAGGTTTAACTCCATGGAGACGGAAGTGTTTACCCCAACACATGGTATACGTCAGAGGGATCCTCTGTCTCCTTACCTATTTTTGTTTGTCGCTGAAGGACTCTCAAGTTTGCTAAAAGGAGCTGAAGCAAGGGGAGAAATAGAAGGAGTGCGGGTATGTCGGGATGCACCAGAGGTTTCTCACTTACTCTTTGCAGATGACTCGCTGATATTAATGCACGCCAACAAAAGGAATGTAGATAATTTGAAGAGCATCCTTGATAGATACTGCATAAACTCAGGCCAAATGGTGAGTGATGCAAAGTCTAGTGTGTTCTTTAGTGAAAATACTCTTGTATCAGATAAGCCGGAGGTATGTCAATCTTTGAATATCATGATAGAATCATTGAATGACAAGTATTTGAGTCTGCCGATGTTGGTAGGGGTAGACCGCAGTGATTGCTTCCAACGTCTAATTGATCGGGTCCGAGCCAAGACAAAGGGTTGGAGGAAAAGTTGATGAGTATGGGCGAAAAAGAAATTCTTATAAAGTCTATCGCTCAAGCCGTGCCAGTCTATGCGATGATGTTTTTCAAAATCCCAAAAAGCATTTGTAAAGGGATTTCAGACACCATATCACAGTTCTGGTGGGGTGATGAAGATGACCATAAGAAGATTCATTGGAAGGCGTGGTGGAAGCTTTGCATTCCTAAGAAGAGAGGAGGTATGGGTTTCAGAGATTTGGAGAGCTTTAATATTGCGTTTCTGGCCAAATAGATTTGGAGACTGTTGCTTGAACCAGATTCACTTTGTGCTAGAGTGCTAAGAGCAAGATACTATCCTGATGGAAAATTGTTAAATGTAAAATTAAAGAGTGGGAGTTCATATACTTGGCAAAGTATCCTGGCGGGATTGGAGTGTTTTAAACATGGATATATTTGGAGAGTGGGGGATGGTTCTCAGATTAATATATGGGAGAACTGTTGGATTCCATCAAGCCATAATCTTAAAATTATGACACCAAGGGGAAACAATTTAGTCACCACTATGGAGGAGTTAATCAATCTAGTGACAAGTTATTGGGATGAGGACCTAATCAAAGATTTGTTCTGGCCAGTCGATGTTCACCAGATCCTACAAACACCATTATCTGTTGGTAGAGAGGACCTTGTGGCATGGCATTATAACCGAAACAGTTTCTTTTCAGTCCGTTCAGCATATCATATACAATGGTCACGTAAATTTGGTGGTAACACGCTATAGGTGCATGCAAGTGGTGTGGGTGATATTGTTGTTAGGGGAAAACTCTGGCAATTGCAAGTTGCGAGCAAGATCAAAAATTTTGGTTGGAGGGTCCTGCATGGCGCTATACCATGCAAAGGGATTCTTGCAAACCGACATATAGAGAACTCAAGCAGTTGTCCAGCATGTCATGAGGGATGTGAAGATATTAAACACCTTCTGTTCACCTGCAATCGTGTCAAAGGGATATGGCAACGACTTGGTGTTTGGAACAAGATGGAGAGAGTTCTGGCATTAGATAGATCGGGGTCTGTTTTACTAGCAGATTTCATTTTTTACTAGCAGATTTCATTAATAACTCTAGACCAGTTATGAATCTAAATCAGGTTGGTCTTGCTGAACTAATACTGACGGGAGGTTGGTATATTTGGTGGGAACGTAGGAAATTCGTCCACGGTGAGGCCATCCAGCAACCGATGCAGTCAACTCTCTCAATTGCTTCTCTGACGACAAACTATAAAACTGCTATGAAGAAGTCTATCAAACAAAGAGAGGGATGGAAGAGACCGCCAGAAGGAAAGTTACTGATAAATATAGATGGAAGTTTAAGAGAGGAAAGGGGCAGTGGAGGTACTGGCGTGGTCATCATAGACTCAAAAGGAACGTTCATTGCAGGATCTTGTAACTATATGGAACATGTGGTGGACGCTCCAACATAAGAGGTAATGGCATTAAAGGAGGAACTTTTGTTAGCACAACGGATTGGATGTAACGGCTTCATCATACACTCAGACTACATGGAAGTTGTGGAAACTATAAGACTTGGGATCTCGTCTGCTGCAGGTGCACCAATTTATGATGACTGTTTCCTCCTATGGCAGGACTTTGAAGCTATCTCCATTGAGCATTGTGATCGGGAAGCGAATATGGTGGCGCACAAAATAGCTAGAGTGGCTTTATCTTTGAAAGATAATTGTATTTGGGTCGATGAACCCTAAATTTTCTTTTTGAAGCTATGGTAAACGATGTAATCATGTTTGATAATCGATAAAGTGCGTCACCTGGCTTTCTAAAAAAAAGGGATAAAAGCCTTTTTTGTGTGTTGTTCCGGCTCTTTCTTTTTTTCTTTTTTTTCTTTTTTTTTTGCCTAGTGCGTGCCATATAGCCCATATAAGTTAACTCCATAGACCAAGCTAGCTGCCTAGCCGATACGACCATAGGTTTGAAATTCGGTCTAGAAAACAAGTCCGTTGCGCAGTAGATTTCGGATTATTTCGGATGATTCAACGGTGTTCTGTGAGAGAGAATAAGCTGAAACAAGCTGGAACTTGAGCAGCCGAACACGCTGAAAACAGGTTATACTGATGATGATCCTGAGCGCCAAGGTTGTGTTTGCCCTGGCCAAACTCGATCTCGCATGTGCCGCCAACACCATGCTTGTACCCATTCCTACATACGCGACCGATGCGCAATGTGATGCTCTTGATCTTGGGAACATATCTGGTGCAAACCAACCACCTCATGCAACTTTGGAAACTACAAATTAGGGCCATAAGATGCTAATCTAATGGACAGGGTTAGAGGTGGGATTATTTTGCGCTTAAGCCCCCCAAGCCGGCCACTTTTCCAACCAGAAACGGACGCGAGGGGGTATTGGAAAAGTGGCCGGCTGGTGGGGGCTTAAGCACAAAATAATTCTACCTCTAAGCTTATTTATTGGATTAGCATCTTGTGGCCCTAATTTATAGTTTTCAAGGTTACACGGAGTAGTTGGTTTGCAACACATATGTTCCGCTTGATCTCCCACCTCCATCCGTCACCGACTCACAGTGCAGAGTGCATGCATGCATGGTCGAAGGATCCAAGGCAACGCCGACCACCACTGTTTGCTGGCTTATGATCCTGGCGCGGCGGCATTCCCCTCCCTGGATCACTCATCATTAACTACCCAACTTCCCGGTTGTGGTGGTCATATGCCCAGCCCAGCCAGCTCGGAAGAGAATGAAAAGGAGAGCCGGGTGACGTGTGGACGACATCAGCTAAAACCCGCCTAGGATCCCCTGCGCAAGCCCGGCCGCCTTGGTGGCTCCGAGCGGCGCGCAAGGCTACGCGGCAGCCACGCGAGCTTCTGAACCCCCAGCGACGAACCTGGGCACCGAGAACCAAGATGCTCCGCATGTGCCGGCCGGCCCGGGCAGGTGGGGCGGGCACATGACATATGCATGCATGTGTGCGGCGCGCACGCGGCGGGAGGGGCGTCCGGCGGAACTCGGAGGCAACCGCAAGGCAGGGGCAGGCAGGGCTGCTGGGGTCCGTCGTCGGTCGGCCCGACGAGACGCAGCAGCTGCCGGAGCCCCATGGATGGCAGTGGCACGCACCAGGACTGGACTGGAGCTGCCCATTCAAGTGCTCAAACTCTTTCTGATCCCTGCATAGTTGATCAATTTTGTATGAAAATTCTAATAAAAAATGGCATTGATGGAAGCAAAATTATCTAGGCCCTTCAACTAGGGCGTCGGCTTTAATTATGGGACACCAGGCCACGAAAAGAGTTCTGGATAATGCAGGTTTGACGTCACAATCACACGAAAATCACGGGAAAAGCAGAAGTGATTCTTTCCTGCTCCTTTGACGACAAACGAAATGCCGGGATTTATTCTTGTCATCATCAATCCATCATCACTATAACGAAAAGACCTACGACTCCATCGGATAACATATCACGTCGTACTCAATGTATGGCACCATCATAGCGGCCTACACCTATACCTGTTCCAGTGCACAGGAATTAATTCATGTGGACCATTTTCAACTAAAGAATCCGTAGTTCCATTAGCTATCACGAATGTTCACTGTAGTTCAATCAGGGGGTAGTACCTACAGAAGCAGGTATACAAGCTAGAGTCCATCTGCGCACATAGTCGCATAGATTCACCTACAATTGTGCCATAATAACCACATCATTTTGCTTGAACTCCTATAGTTTCATCGTAGCCTAAGTTATATGGCCGGAGGCCCAATCAGCTTGAGGTCAGCACCAAAATTTGCAATGGACCAGATCTAACGTCCTGGGCCTGCACGCCTACACTATGTGTCAGATACCTTTGGGGCCCAACAAAGATTACGAGTCAGCAGGGCCTGTTGTAGATGTGGCCACAACGTTTTCTTTGGCATCATCTTTCTCCTGACCGGCTACATTTCTTTCATCGTTCCTCGTTTCCTTCTGGCTAGACACATCATTTTCTTCTTTGTCCTTCCTCGTTTCCTTCTGTCCAGCTGCAGCATTCTCCTTATCCTTGCTCGTTTCCTTCTTGCCAGCCACAGCATTACCTTTCTCTCCGCTCTTTTCCTTCGGGGCAGTGACAGGAAAATCTTCCTCCGGTTGCCTATGCCACCGGAAATTTGCTGCTTCAATCCAGCGTGGGTGGACCAAGAACTTCTTGTTGCCAACACCCCAACGGGCCTTCTCTGTTCCCAGATCCACAGTTACAACATGGGTGACACTGGAATCCACATCTGTAGAGCAAACGGCACCCAGATACTCGGCCATCTTTCAGATCATCTGCTCCTGTGGGCGTGTATTGTTTGGGAACACCCGACTGAAGACTATTTTGCAACCTTGCAGTATTTCCTTTCGTACCGCCTTGATCACCTGTATAGTGGGCATACAAACACAAGAAACAGCCAATTACAAATGAAATCTATAAGCCGCGCAAACACAAGAAACAGCCAATTACAAATGAAATCTATAAGCCGCGCCACGTAGAAGATGTATTAAGCAAGCTATAGCTCAGTTATATTAAAATTAAAAAACACAACTCATCTACTCTTCAGAAAAACATAAATAATTATTAAAGCATAAAAGGCAGCATGAAGGGTATATGCAAAGCCTACCTGTCTTACATCCCGTGAAGAAAGATCAGTTTCAACAGCCTACATAAGAGAGGTACAAGGACAAATGGTTAGAAATGAAAAACTTTTGTTCTTACAAGATTCCGATCCACTGTGAGGAATAGATGGTAGAAAGAAACAGAGTGATGAAAATGTGATAAAACTTTGAACTGAAGAAACCAACCATGTCAAAGAAAATCGTGTGTATGCGCTTCAAGACATCTAAAACGGTAGCCAAAGCACCATCACTCTCCCTTTCATCTTGCATCGATTCTGACAAAGACCTAACACCAAAACCAAATTCACGGCAGCTTGAAGCAAAGAAATGATCTCTCTCCATCAGAATCAGGTTCTCTTTATGCTTCTTCCATACCTGAAACAAAATTTCATTTTCAGGCTGGCCAGCCATGAATGACAAATGACAAGAGAAAATAGAAATTTTGATCACTCTAAGCACAGATAACAGGGTCCTACCAGCTTCTACACATTGAGGATAATCATTATGCTTTGATAATTGAGGATAGATGTTTCAAATTTTAAATCTGTATGTTGGAAGCAAACCGGAAACAAAGAGCAGTTACTGACCAGGAACACTTACATCACAAGTGACCAGAGTATTCTATAATGAGACATTAAGACCTAGCTTGGCCAATGAATTCATGTCAAATAATGTGACTTTTGGTTGCATAAAATAAAATTGTTCTGAATCAGCTTGCCCTATTGGATAGAAAAGGCACATACTTCTGAAAACAGTCATTTAACAATAACACTTACAAACTCAGTGTCATCAAGAATCACTGCAACACTTTCAGCTCCAAGAATCACATCAAGACCTTTCTGGTGCAATCTGAGTTTGAAATCACTTTTAAAGGAAAATAGATGTTACTAGGGTCAAGAAGCTTCACAATTTCAATTGCATAAGCTTTGTCACCCATGGTGTATATATACATCTCAAACATATTGCTTGCTTCTTTCAGAAATTCTCGGACAAATGGTCTCAACTTTGTGAGCAACTGCATTGATTCTAGTGCAAAGATGCTTCTGTTTGGATCATCTGCATTTAGAAAATGAGGGGTTCACTTGCTATGTTATATACATTCGTGGATAAGCAACAACAGTTTCAGCAATGGTCAAAGGACATGAAATATAGACAACTGCAAGGAAATAATCAGTTGTAATTATATAAAAGTTGTTAATCATTATTACTCTGCTTAATAACCCTAAAAAAATTACTCTGCATAATAGGATAGAAGTTAGAAAAGACTTATAAAGTTCACTTATGGGTAATACCAACTGATGCTAACTGCACTGAGCCATAAAAATGTTTGTCTGAGAACGAATGATAGAGGGAGTAGAGGGTCCAAAAGTTCTTAATAATTTCAATCTGTAACTAAAACCACATTATGCAGGAAGAGACTAAAGCATATAAACATGCCATGAGCAGTGGCATTCAACTTCTATTTTCTATCATGAAATGCTAGCTGCTTATACAAACATATTGGCTCTGCCCTTCGCACAGTAAACTGTATGCATTCCAGTCCACATTCAAACATACATGCCATCTTTTTATTTCCATTGTCTAGCAAAAGAGGCAACATTGGTCACTACCCAGTACTCTATTTTCAAACATAATTCTGTAAACAAATAGAAATTTTATGATGTAGTAGACTCAGAAGAGAATGTTAGTCATGTCATTTTCCTGGGACCTCTAATACTTTCAAATAAAATCGTGTAAAAATCAAAAGTTGACAAAATATATCATGACAATATAATAGCATCTATAGAGTTGCAATCAGAGGTGGTACCTTAGCAAAATATAACTTCAACAAAAGATGACTACAAGTTCTCAAAACTTAAAATACAATTATATAATATTACCTTTTGAAGCAGCAGTTTGAATACCCAAATCTTTTTCAGCAGAAGAAATATTTTGGAGTTTGGTCGAGTTGATCCGTGTGTGATCCAAGTCCAAAATGAGTACTAATTTTCTTTCACGCAACAGATTCTTCAAATCAGCACAACGAAGTCTGTCAATTTCTGAGGTACCTAGCTTCAAGCCCTGCATTTTAATAATCCTCCTAAATTTGTAAAACTGCTTAGAGACAAGGCAATGTGCAAGTGCAACTGGAAATGAAAAATTAAATGGCAATACAGCGCCCACAAATTTGCAATTATGTGTGTTATATGAGCGAGGTGCCATAAGGGAACACCACATCCTGAAGTCTATGTTAAATAATCCTAAAATTATTTGTTTTATTTGGTTTGAGAGTACCTTGTGGATGTAATCTAAAGCAACTCCTGAAACATCTTCCTCGTCTTGTGGATTGCCACATGTATAGCAAAGTCCATTTATATATCCAAGATGTGGACATGCCCCGACCTGAACATTTTTAGATGCACCTGAAAAAATGTATTCTCAATAATTTAACATGCCATCTGTCACACATGGACAATTGGACACTCAATGCTCAATATATGATGAACTAAGCCCAAGCCAATTGCAACAGAAGAAAGAAACAAAGTTACACAAAATTTTAGGGCTATTCTAAAATATATATAATAGCCACCAACAGCTGGATAATTTGTTGTGATCAAATTCAGAAATATAAAGGACAGAAAGTGGTTTATATTCTACAACTCTGAACAAAAATGTGAAAGGGCAACCATTTTTACAATTAGTGCATCCTATGAGCAAGGATAGAGAGTCAACCATGCAACACAATGCAGAAAAATATAGTTTAGAACACCACATTTGAATTTTGAAGTAAATGCATCATCATGTCCCCTTAGGTTGCAAAATGTTACTAACAGATTTGCAAAGTGCAACTAAGAAGCACACCAGTGGGAATTTTTTCAGGCCTAACTGATGTTCCTTGATCTTGGCGTTGTTCCTCCACTGTACGCCTTTTGGTACTGCATTTTGCATGCAGTCGACAGCAGTCAGATTCATAGTACAAAATCTACAAAACAAGTAATGATTAGTTCTTTCTTAACACAACTTCATCCAATGAACTTTGTCGCTTCGTTTTCTCTGAAAACTAGAGTGCTCTCCACATCATTATCTTCAATGATAACTGAAAACTCTTACTACCCAGCATGGAAAGACAACACACTTGATACAACATCTGATGCAGCATTTTTATAGATGTGCACTTTTCGTTACTATCAATATCTCCATGATATCATAATAGCTGACTTGCAATTCTATTGATATCGCATTTGATTTTAGAATCAGAAATTTGAATTTCATTTCATGTGAATCAATGATCTAACAACTTTTTGGAAAGATATTGAACACCAGAAAATCAAGCACAAAGCAGGGGCAGCCACCGAGCCTGCCTAGTCACTAGGCAACACCAGTAATCCACCTAACTTTTAGAAAACTGACTAGGATGCAATGACTCTCCCTCCCTCCCTGGATTAGAAGGGATGGACTAGGATTTCAATTATATTGAACAAACCTCAATCCATAGCAGGTGCCTTACTACCCTAGTACAAGACAAATTTACAACTACTAGGCCCCAAAATCAAAGGCAAGGGAAGGGGTCTATGAAGGAACACAAGTTTACATAAGCCAAATAAATAAATCAAGCAGGGTACACACTTCTTAAAGGAAAAGAATCAAAAGATAGAACAGACGTAGCTAGGAACACTGGAAAGTTTGTTTGTTTTTGGATTCTAATTGACTAGGATTCACATTTCTCACTAGGATTGTCATTTTCCTTTTCTTTTCATCTGAAATAGAAGGTTAAATAGGCCTTGCAGCAACAGAGTGCAAGAATTTTATCATTTACCACAACAGAGAGGATAAGCTACGGCACATGCTCGCATGTCTTGTCCTAATTTCAGCCTGTATCCATAAGCTGAATATGAAAACATGGCAGACATGAGTGCAAGAATTCTATCATTTATTCATTTACCACAACAGAGAGGATCTACAGCACATGCTCGCATGTCTTGTCCTAATTTCAGGCTGTGTCCATAAGATGGAGATGAAAACATGATAGACATCAAACTTGCATAACACAAGAGAATGGATGCCGAATGGATGCCTTCACGGTACTCTATAAATGGGGATTGAAGATTAGAGCAGTACTATCAAATCCATTGGTTCTACGAATTTCAGATTTGGCATTTCACATAATAGAACAATCGATTCACTAGTCAATATGATCAAGTGCGCTCAGTACAGGAGCAGTAGGAACTTCAGTAAATTCTAGGAAGGGGGAGGGGGTGTTAAAATCCTTATAGAATCACAACTGCTGCAGTGAGGATCCGCATTGTCCAATAAACCACGAGGCATGTAAAAAGCAAGCAAAAAACCTGAAGCATATGTTTTACCCGATGATGAAGCACGAAGCCCTAATAAGCTTGAATCGGGGAAAATCTGCTCACCCTAATCCAACAGCAAGGCCGATCATCCAACTCTAAACGCGCCTCTAAATGCGCGTGGAATTCAAGGTTATAATCGCGCGGCCGAAGCCGCCAAACCCATGGAGTCGTCTAGCAGTGAATTAAGAGGAGGGAGGAGCAGGAAGGCGGCACGTACTCGTTTTGTTCTATGGCTTCAACCTCTAGCTCCTCCGGATCCTCATCCTCGCCCTCGTCGTCGGTGGCGGGGAAAGCGGAGGAGGGGTCGCTAGGGAAGGCGGAATCAGCAATTGGGAGGGGAACCAAAAATGGAAGGACCATTTCTGTATTAGAATCGAGCTGGGCTTTTCTTGCAGAGAGTACCGGGGAAATTACGCCGTGTTTAGGCCTAGGAAGTTGGAATTTTGGCTACTGTAGTATTTGTTTTTATTTGGTAATTATTATTCAAACATAGACTAATTAGACTCAAAACGTTCGTCTCGTAATTTTCCACCAAACTGTGCAATTAGTTTTTTTTCGTCTATATTTAATGCTCCATGCACGAGCCACAAACATTCGATGTGATGACTACTGTAGCACTTTTTAGGATTTTGGGTTGAAACTAAACATGGGCTTAGTTGGACTTCCAAAAAAAAACCCAGACGGCTCCATTTCTGCGCGGGATGTGCCTTAGGGCCCGTTCGTTTAATCTGGAATAGTTGCCGTGGAATTGTTCTGAGAGGTTTATTTGTATTAACTAGTAAATATACTTGTACGTTGTAACAGAAAATATTGTGCGGTTAGCTGAACAATTTGTGGTTAGAAGATTTATTCAATGATAATCACTTGTTTCAATGAACATATTGAAATTAGATTCAATAACATTGCTGGAAAGAAAGATAAAAACAAAAGAAAACATAAAAAAATAGAATAGAAAAAGGAAACTTGCCGTTGGAAGAAAATCGGAAAACAAAAACCAAATCTAAAATCACGGAAGCTGTTGAAAAAAATAAACACAAAATAGATCTGAAACAGGAAAAGAAAAATTTGTCGGTGGAAAAAATAAATAAATCTGAAATAAGAGATTTGGTGTTGGAGAAAACAGAAAAGGCTGTGCTATTGGAAAAAAAACAGAAAATAAAAAAGAATAGGAAACCACCGTGGATTAGAAAATAGAGAAGGAACTGGAAACTCCTTTTCTGTTTGGATTAGGATTGCAATTGAAGTTGTTTAGGATCGGAGAGATCTGTTTGATTAGAATTCATAATCCAAACTATGTATTCTAGTCGGACAATAAGTTTATTTGTGAGCATCTTTTCCCGGGCAATAAATTTGCATGTACACATGTCTTCCTTTCTTGTATGTCTTACATTCACACGAGAAAGAGTGTCGACTGATGGTGCGAGAAAAAAATTTGGAGAGATTTTTTGCCTTGTTAATTAATATTAGATATAGACGGGTAGAAGGATTGGACTTGATCAAAATTCCGTTAGACAAAAAAAATTAGCTTTTACCCAATATGTTTTGGAATTGAACTCCATATCATGCTAGAAAGGAGCTATTCTAACTCGTATGAGCACGAGTTATATATATAAGTCGAGACAAAAAAAAACTCTTCATTAGCTAGTTAGATGGAGACAGAAAAATTACTGGATGACAAAAAAAAATAGGTTAAAATTTTGCCTCTTTATTATTAGGTATAGATATAGATTAGCTAAATAGTTCCCAGCCTCAATACCAGCCAAACGAACGAGGCTAGTGTTTTTGAGTTTTTTTTCATAGGTACCATTACGATTTGCAAGTTAGGAGAGTATAATTACTATTCGTCTATTTGGAAACTTACCATTTTATACTATTCAACAACACTAGGCCCACACACATGCCAGTGTATTTTCGTATGGCCCAAAATACCTTGTTGTTTCTCTCTCACTCCGCTTATGGGGCCACACATCAGCTTCTCCCTCGACCACTAGCCACGGTAAACATTCAACAGTCACCTCTCGGTACTCGACTGCTCGGCGACGGCGGTGCCATGCCAAGCCGAGGCAATGAATGTCGTGCGCCCGGCAGCATGTTGTGGGGCGACGTGGCACGGAGCAGCAGGGCACACGAGCGGTAGGCGCGGCGTGGCCTGAGCATGGCGGCGCGGAGCTCCCACGCGTCCATGTCAGGAGGCCGGGCTTGCGAGCGCGAGCGGCTACAACGGGCAGCCAGGCTCGCGAGCAGGAGCGGCGGCTTCGGTGGTGAGGCACAAGCGGTCACGGGCCATGACGGGAGGCGGTGGGGAGGACAGGCTCCAGTGGATGCGCGTGCGGGGCTCGACACCGTCCTCTCTGGTGGCGCTTTCGTGGTCGGCAACAAGTACTTTAGAGCTAGAGGACACCACAGGCCAGTGGCGGAGCCAGGGATTTGCGTCTGGGTATGCCACATGTATAAAAATTCGAAGCAAGACGATAAGTTATAATGTCCAAAACAAATCCATAATAATAACCAAAGTACAAGTTCGAAATATAAATAAATCATCATTCCACATTGGCACAAGTTGGGGAGCTTCACCATCATTTTGTGCTGGTACAAGTGCTAACTGCATATCGCTCCATTACTCTCAATCTCAACAGAATGAGCATTTAGTGTGGATGTGGAGTTTTTTTCCCCCTTGGGCTTTGCCTTTGCAGCTTTCTCCTACAATGCAAATATGTTAACACCATTCTTCATCTACATTACAAAAATTAAGAATACAACCAAAAGAATTAGAAAAAGAATTTTTCATTAGCTCACTGAACCACTGAGGAGTGGATCTAGGTTCTGGGGTGTTCTGCATCTTCTCTGCTCACCTTGCTTGAAGCCGCCGAGCGCCGAGGCCGAGGGGGAGGGCGCCTATCGCCGGAAGGTGTTGCAGAAGGGGCGCCGCTGCCGCTAGTGGCTGGCTCCTTCGCGCTAGGACCTGGGAGGAGGCAACCGCAGCAGGGAAAAGGCAGGGTTGTAGGGGGCTAGCTAGCGAGGTGGAGGGCAGGGGGCGAGTCGCCCGGAGTGGGGGAGGTGGCGAGGTGCTGCCCGGCGGCGCCGGTCGCTGGAGTGTGGGAGGTGCTCCGTGCTCATGCTACGGCCGGGCGATGGAGTCACGCATAATATATTCTGGGCTTCGTTCGTGGGCTGCAGGAAATGGTTGTTCTATTGGGTCTATGAGAGAATGTAACAAAATACGTATAAACCCGTGTATTAGTGTGTATATATACATATTAATTTTGTCTCCCAAATCCTGGGTATGCCTTGGCATACAGGGCCATACCTGTGCCGCCGCCCATGCCACAGGCACCTCAATCTGGTTTGCGCTTGCGGCCATGGCAATCTCGTCCGCAGGGAGAAATGGCGGAGCTCATGCAGTCAAGCTGCTTGAGGAAATGTGTGACATGACTGCAGCCACTCAGGTGCACCTACTTGTGCTCGAATCTGGGTGGCTCCAAGTGCATCTACTGGTGCTCCAAGCGCCCCCCTTGCGGCCGAACCAGAGGTGAGGATGGTGCACGTCGGCTAGAGGTCGAAGGAGAAGCTAGAGTGTGGAGCCCATACGTCAGCGAGTAGAGGGAGGGTCGTAGCTGTAGGGGTATTTTAGGCCATACAAAAATACACTAGCCTTTAGTCAACTGCACATGGGCTCAACGCTGTCGAATACGTAGAAAATGGCACGATTAGATCTGACAAAGAATTATAATGGCAAGTTTCTAAATAAACGAATAGTAACGGTACTTCTCCAAACTTGCAAAATTATAATGGTACCAATTCAAAGAAAACCCTAGTGTTTTGTCTTGAAATTGATAGAGTGAAGTTGTTTTTCCTTATTAGAGCTGCTGGAGTTCTAGGTTCAAATAAAGGCGGTAGCAGGCAGAGCAACTAATTCACGAACGCTATCCAATTCAAAAGCAGTGAATGATTTCTCGATATGTAGCAGTTTTCATTTTTGAAAAAAAAAATCTCACCCCTTTCCCTCTATGGACATGCCCATCCTGCGCTCCCCTGCATGCACCCACTGCATCCTGCGCCCTTTCCGACTAGCTGTGAGCCTGTTACACCACCTGACGCAAAAAAAAATATATATTTATTTAGAATTGCTATAACTTCTAAACGGTGTATTTATTTTTAATTATGTTTTACACCTATGTGTTTCACGTAACGAACAAAACTAGACCACACTTGCATATATTTTGAAATTTTTTTATTTTTAGCAATTTATGTATATGAACTTATAACATATAACTTATGCTAAAACTTGAAAACACAAAAGTTATTAAACACAAATGAATAAATTAACTTATAACTTATGCCAAAACTTGAAAACACAAAAAGTTATGAAACACAACTTATGTAAAAATGGTTATATTGTCAAAGTTGTGAATATAAGTTATAGTAATAAATTATGTGTATAACTTAGTAACTTTTTGAAAAAGAAAGTTGTGAAAAAAATTATTAAACACAAAGGAACGAATTAGCTTATAACTTATGTTAAAACTTACGAACATAAAAGTTATTAAACACAAAGGAACAAATTAACTTATTATTTATGTCAAAACTTAAAAACACAAAGTTATGAAACACAACTTATGTACAAAATTATTATATTATTAAAGTTATGAATATAAGTTATGATAATAAATTATATATTAAAGTTATGTGTATAACTTACTAACCTTCCGTTGCGAAGCTGCTCCATCATTCGCTGGATTTGAATCCGTGAACACCTGCTGGAGCCATGTTCAGCCGTTCGCTCGCTTTTCGCTCCTGGCATGGCGCGGTCGCTCTCCTCTCCAGCCCCAAATTTTTTATTTTTCAACCTTGTTTTTGAAAAATATTCACAAATAGATTCATGATGGTTTGATTTTCGTTTATAGACCCTGACCTCAACGCCATGGCTTTTGGCGCCGAGGAAACACGTCTCGGCACCATGGCCAATGGCGCCGAGGTCTTAGCGAGGCGTCGGACGTGGCAATGACCTGGCGCCGATGTGGACAAGGCCTCGGCGCCGTAGATCTTGGCGTCGAGCTGTTAGACTATAGATCTTGATGTTTGAAATGAAACAAGTATAATTGTTTCGACGAACTTGTAACAACGCCATTGCGGTTCAGCTGGTTAGGACGTGCGACTTAGCTCAAAGGGACGGCTCAAACCCAGCTGAATCTTTTTTTTTTTGCTACATTTTTATAAGCATTTTTCGGCTTACTGACTCAGTCGCTCAGTCGCTCTCTTCTCACCAAACACGGCATAACCATGATGTGCAAGCTAAGTGCAGCAAGGCTTCCTGACTCCAGCACTGATTGGGTCGATTCCATCGAACTGAGCTGACACGC